GAACAAGTTCCGGGAAACGAACTCAGGACGATGTAGAGGACCGCCCATTGTCCCCCGACGACGGCCTAATCCAAGGTCCAGTCATGAGATCGAGAAATGCAAGTGAAGAGATGGTAGAGCCTGAGGAAATTCACGATATTCTTAATTATGTTTCTGAGAATCCAAACCAAGAAAGTGAGATGACAATTTTTTATGTAAACGAGGATAATCTACCTGGTTGCCCTCAAGCCAAATTGAAAATTGAGGACAAGGAAGTGATAGCCATCTTAGACAGCGGTGCTGAAATTTCGATTATTTCGGAGGCATTGTTCGATGTTTTGATAGAAAGTGGGTTAAAACTGTTACATATTCCTGTAGTAAACGGAGTGCTGATCTCGGCATGGGGTTCGCGGACCAAGAGGATAAGGAAGCAAGCGTTGATCCCGATCAAAATAGATGATGACATGTACGAGCAAGTTTTTATGGTTGCCCCTCAGTTGTTAGCGCACGCTACATTGGGAGCAAATTTTTTGAATGATTTTCAAGTTGTTGTTGATTTCAAAGAAAAATGTTTCACGACGAAGCAGGATGGAAAAAGATCCAGACATAGTTTCATCTACGAGGATAAGGCAGGGGGAGGAGACGGAAACAGGCCGATTGCGAGCTGGGACCTGGCAACTTATGATCATCGGTTCATTAAGGGAATAGAACCTGGACGGTCGGAGAGTCGAGTAGCAGCCACTGAGATGAAATACAGAAAATCTGCATTTTTAACTGGTCTTGAAACTGAGACCCTGGGCATTTGAAGCCAGCATGACCATTATTTTTGGTGATGCTTGAAGTTAAAACATGCAATATTGTGCTTGTCATATTTCTTCATTTAAGGCGATTCTTATAATGGATACTAACAGATTGATTTGTTATTTGTAGTGATGAATTAAGAGAACATTTGAAGGCACAAACCAAAGTTCCATTTGAGCCAAAGTTGCTCGTAAATCTTGCTAGAGATTCCAGTGATAATTCTAGTGACTCTGACTCCAGTTCAGATGCTTCTTCTTCAACTTCAGACAGTAGCTCAGGTATGTGCACTCTTTAATCTTTGTTGTGTGGGACGTTGAATGTCATATTTTATATTTTGTAATAGTTTGGAGAGGACATTAGAGTTTTATATATCTTTGCTATGGTATATGTATTTATATTTTTAGTTCTTCAGTTCTGGTGTATATGTGCATAACATGTAATGAATTTTATAAATTAAATTCAACAGAACCCTGTAGAGTACAGGTAGCCCTCGATTTGCGCCGATTTAGAATAACGCCGATTTTGAAACCAGAAAGTCAAAAAGTGAAAAAATATATTTTACTATTATTTATAACGTTTTACAATGTATCTCGTACTGATTCTTATACTAAATCATAATACTTACATCGCTGATTTTGGATAAAAATTATAAATACAGTCATCTCTGCAATTATGTATGTTTTGTTAACGCGAATTTGCTCCAATGAGATCGATGAATCAGTAAAAGCTGTTTGTGAAATGCAAACTTTTGCATGTGCAAGTTTGCTCTTATGCTGTTTCATTCCTGGCCCTTTAAACTTTCAAATGACTAATTTAATCTCTGCGGAGGTACCGGGGGTTATTTTTACTACGCGATTTTCTATAGGTCGGCGTCATACATGAATGCAACTATCTCATAACAGCAGAGATGACTGTACACATCAATCACATGAAAGAATTGCAGTCAATCATGAGGACCGACGAATTGCCGATTGTAAGTGTAGAAAATATGTTTTTTAAATTCCCTTTATTTTATTTATGTAGAGCTTTAAATGTAATGCCCATCTTTTAAGTAATATATTCCGTATAGTCTTGTTTTACTGACATTTTAGAGGTCCTTGATGCCTTCGTTGACAGGGTGATCGCCATCACCGTGCACGGACACTTTTAGCCATACCTCTGCTAAGCTTTATAATATTGTAATTGTTTGTTGGCGGAATTATTCTTTTTTCATAGTTTTACTCTTTATTCCTTTTTTAAGACCATATATTTAATGTGGGTCTTAGGTTCTGGTAAACACAGTATGACTGATACATGTGTTATATTTATGTTTCCTTAATATTTTAACGTGATTATGATCATATTCATGGTGATAGCTTAAACAACCATGTTATTGTTTGTGTATGTTTATGAAAACTTTGTCTTTCAGATTCTGATCACAGAGAAGTCATTCAAAAAAATCTAAAAGCTCAAAACAAGCCGTACAAGACATAAGAAGATAAGAAAATAACTTGAAATTATGAAAAGGAAGAAAAGTGGGTGATCTGATGGAGAGAAGCATGGAAACATTTGATTGTAAAAGTACAACAGAACACCCAGCACCACAATAAAATAAATAGTAATATAACATAACTTATATAACAAAATTGATGTTTTAAGTAACATGTTTTATTTGTAGTAGCTCAGTTTTTTTGCGTTTTAGAGATGGACCTTGTAAATGTTATCTATATCCTTACAAGATTCTTTTATAGATATTATTTTCTTATGGCCATGGAAATAAATGTTTTTAATATTGATGTTGCCAAGAAAGTATTCCTGTTCCTCTTTTAGCTAGTACAGAGTTCATTATGATGACTCAAGAATAAATGTGCTGCAACATGTTCAGCTACCATTTTATCCAGAATGTTACAGAAGGTCTGAACACACTTCCTGCTTTATCACACTAGTACGTCTCATTTCAAATAGCATCAAACATTTAATCAGGTAACTTAACTCCAATGTATATGAAGATGTCTTGTTTCTTTGTCACATGGCTGAAAAACAAAGTAGGTAAAAATGAGAGACCCAGATCAGATTTGAACCAAACAACTTCTGATTATGAAGCAATAGTGTTATTCATTACAGTATATAATGCCAGACAAGGAATTTAGAACATTCAGGTATCAATACAGGCAGGAGCCTGGCTTCTACGAATATTCATCCACACCATCAGATTTATATTTTATCCAGAACAAAATATAAAACCCTGAAGCAGTGGCAGCTCGTGAGTCTGGGCAGTGGTGGTCCTGCGCAAAGGGGAAAACTCAGAATAGTTGTGAGTATGATTTTCAGCAGACAGTAAACTTCAGCAAGGGAATTTTGAAGCCCACTGCTTGTTATTATTTGATGGAGGTTTAAAGCCCAGGATACTTGATGAAATTCTTTCCTCTCATAAAGAACAGAGAGGTCAGTCCGCAGTCTTTCTTTATTCAGCATGGGGTAAGCTAACACAGTTTCATCAAGTTCCTTCGAAGGAAATTGTCGACTGTGTAGAGGAAAACGTTCAGATGCCAACAGTTTTGTTGAAGAAGGGTAACCGGT